TGGTTGATGATGGCGGTTCATGCTAGTAGCTAGTAGTGATTGGTAGTGGTGGCGATTATGATTGAGGATAGTGGTGGTAGGTGGTGATAGTTAATAATAGCGAGTGGTGGTAGTAGTTGTGACTGAGGAAGGTGGTAGGTGAGTTGTGGTAGGTTATAATGATGGACAGTACCTAATGTGGTTGTTGATGGTAATGAGGTGGTCAGTTGTGGTAGTTGAGGTGGATGAGTGTTGATTGTGGGTGATAATGATATACGATGGTCAGAGTGGTGGGGATAGTGGGTGGTGATGGTCGATAATGGTGGCGGCTATGATTAAGGATGATGGTGACGTGGTTGTAGTGGTGGTGGCATGGTGGTAGTTGATAATGGTAGGCGGATGCAGCAGTTAATAATGAATATGTGATAGCATCTTAATGAAATTAAGTCTCTTAATAGATCTTAATCATACAGACCTATTCAGACCCAACAAGTGATTGTGAAATTAAAAAAACAAACACACTTAATGATTAAGATCTGAAATATTAAGATTCAGACTTTAAAAATAAATGCACTGAATGTCTGAGATATGAATGATTAAGATTCAGATCTCCATTAAGTGCAAACAAATAAGGTCTAAGTGGTTATGAATTTTAAAAAAACAAATACACTTAATGATTAAGATCTAAATGGTTAAGATTCAGACTTTAAAAATAAACACAATTAATTCAGACTTTCATTAAGGACAAATAAATGAGGCCTAATTTGTGATAAATCATTTTGAAAATATAGCTAACTTCATTGCTCTAGCATTAAGAGGTGATACAGCTATATGCTATTTGGCCCGTTTTAGAAGCAGCGAATTAGCAGTCATCAGAAACAAAATGAGAAAAAGACGTGGACGGCAGGATTCGAACCTGCGCGGGCAGAGCCCACATGATTTCTAGTCATGCCCGATAACCACTCCGGCACGTCCACCTTTTGTTGTTATAATTTCTTGTTTCCACATCATCACAGAAGAAATTCTATCCTTCTAGTATTATGCTGAACCTTCTACATCTGTCCATCTATCTGAGAGAAACATTTTTGTCACCTTCTTCATTCTCGCACACACACACACAGCTCAGACCTCAACTCTAATCCGATTGAAAATGGCGAATCAGAAAAGGGTTCTCTTACTATGTGGAGATTACGTTGAAGACTACGAGGTTTTTGCTTCTTCTTTTTGTTCATAGTTCTTGATTCCTAGTCTGTGCGAAGAACAATATGTTTAGAATGATTAACGTGTCACTGGTTTTCCTGTTCATTGTTATTGGGTCAGGTGATGGTACCATTTCAAGCTCTGCTAGCCTATGGAGTAACCGTTGATGCAGTTTGTCCTGGAAAGAAAGCCGGTGACGTTTGCCGTACTGCTGTCCATCAGCTTTCTGGTCACCAGGTCCTTCCTTTTCTCTATCTTTCTATTACTGCATAGTTTTTTTTTCCTAGTAGGTCTATTTGGTAACTTTCGGGTGGACTCTTAGTTGCTTATTAGAACTTATCCTTCTGTGTGTGCCTAATTGACTGCTATTGGATTGTGGTTAAAGACTGAAATGTGTCTGCGTTCTCTCATTGTTCTGAGCTTTACTCTGTGTTTTCTGTTAAATTAGTTTATACCTATCAATCCAAATGAAAAGGGTCTTGCTTTATGAATTATGACGTTTGAATTTAAGGAAATAGAGGAGCTTTCATTGCCCACGGGCATATAGCTTATGATACTGGGGTATTTAAGTACCTTTTTTCAGCTTTAAGCAATTGATGACGTGCCTCTAAGTATGCCTAAACTCAGGATAATTTACAGCCGAGGGCAAGAGGAGAGTGATCTCTCTATGGACCTACTTTATGTTGCTAACAAGTTGGCTGGATATAAGCCCGGGTCAATTGGACTAGTAGTTTTTATACAATTTCTAGCAATTCCTTAACCAAATTATATGTCTAAACCCACTTGTGCACATGTGTTTATGCATTAGCACGCATCATTTGTTTTATTATAGAATATGAAATTGTGATTGTATTAAAAGATTTGTGGCCGTAAAGTTTTATTTAATTTTAGAATTGTTTCAGACATATTCAGAGTCCCGGGGACACAACTTTGCTCTTAACGCAACCTTTGATGAAATAGAGGCTACAAAGTATGATGGCTTGGTTATACCAGGAGGACGTGCTCCAGAATATCTGGCCATGAATGAATCCGTGTTGGACTTGGTGAAAAGTTTCGCCAACTCTAAAAAGCCAATTGCCTCTATCTGTCATGGACAATTGATCCTGGCTGCTGCAGATGTGGTCAGAGGTCGAAAGTGCACAGCTTTTCCTGCTGTGAAACCGGTACTTCTTGCTGCTGGTGCCCATTGGGAAGAACCAGAGACGATGGCCTCATGTACCGTCGACGGTAATCTTATCACTGGACCTACTTATGAAGGTCATCCTGAATTCATCCGACTCTTTGTCAAGGCACTTGGTGGCAGCATAGTTGGTTCTGGTAAAAGAATCCTATTTCTATGTGGGGTAAGTTATAATCATGTAACATCTTGTTTTAGCCGAGAGAATTTGATATGCTTAGTTTCGAATTGCATTTTACTGGTAAATGGTAGTATATGAAATGGTTGTAAAGATTGTGGTATAACTTAAGAGCTTTAACACCACGTCTCGTCCCAATTGTTGTAGAAGAACAAACATATGTGATCGTCATTCTCAAAAAGAAGAACAGATACATATGTAATCCTCCTAAATATAGCTGGTTCTGTTGGTATATAGGTGACAGAAATCTTTCTCTCTATGAAACTTCCAATGTGTGCCATAGCAAGATTCTCTCTTTATTTTAATTCGATTTGGTTGTGTCATATTTATGCTTGCCGCATGCTGGTAAGGCATCAGATAATCACCTGGTGTTGTTTGAAATGTCATGTCTGCGTAGATAAGAAAGAGCCTCCAGTTCAA